AAAAAAAAAAAAAAAAAAAAAAAAAAAAACACCGAGGTTCATATGGTCACCTACCCCTGCTTCTACCTATTGCTCTACACCTGGATGCCAGGGAGCGAGGGAACACAAGGACACGGGTGGTAGCCGTCCCTGGGCCCTGAAGGTTCATGGCCTGGCAGGTGTCAATGCCAGCATCCCCGGCCCAGGTCTCTTCCAAATATAGGGTGTTCCCTGCATCCTACCTGACTTTCCTGGCATACCTGTCCACATCGCCATGGGCCTGCTCACTGACATCGGGGGGTGGATCCAGCTGAAGAGACAAAAAAACCTGTCCATCAGCTGCCCCAGGTGCCATCTCTGACTGGGGCACAGTGGGCAGGTAAGAGGCACAATGTACCCCTTCAGGGAAAGGAGGAGCGACTTGGCCAAGGTCACACCTCAGTATTAGAGCACCTGAAAGGCCAGGTTCTCTGTGGAAAAACAAGCCGTTCAAGTCCCTGGGGGGAAGCTGGGGTCTCCTCCCCGACTCAGGGAGAAGCAGGAGGTAACGGCACTTTCTGGTGTGGGTTTTACTGCACTCTGCTTCTGTGGGGATGTTAAGGGGTGTTCCCTCCGCAGAGGGGGGGCAAAATTGTTTGGTAAATAGTCCAGCAAAGTAAAACTGGGGAGACTCAGACCACTGAGTCTAACACGTGTCCCTGTAATGTTTTGAACCTCCAAGGCAAATGCTTTTAAGAGGCAGCGTTTTCCTAAGAACGCTTTTTTTTGGAGAAGGGGGTGGTATGACTTTTTGGGTTTTCTGCTGTTCCAAGGATCATGTCTGTGGAAATGCTGGCCTAGCAAAGCCAGTGTCTCCCAGCCATCGGGGTGTTCATTTCCCTTTGTTGGGTCTCAAGTTTCCACTTTTTTTTTTTTATTTTATTTTTATTTTTATTATTTTTTTTGTGGTACACGGGCCTCTCACTGTTGCGGCCTCTCCCTTTGCGGAGCACAGGCTCCGGATGCGCAGGCCCAGCAGCCATGGCTCACGGGCCCAGCCGCTCCGCGGCATGTGGGATCTTCCCGGACCGGGGCACGAACCCGTGTCCCCTGCATCGGCAGGCGGACTCCCAACCACTGTGCCACCAGGGAAGCCCTCAAGTTTCCACTTTTGACAAGTGGGAGAATGATACCTCACTCTCTCTACTTCTAAGGCCTCTGGGGGGCTCACCTTCAAGTCTCTGCACCTCAAATTCCGGCCCCTCCAGGAAGCTCTTTTAAGAATTCCTGAAGTCTGCTCGGTTGGTAGCCTACTGCTTAGCACAGTTCTTCTTTAGATGTTTGAGGTTATGGGTTAAGTTCTTTGAGAGAAAAGAACATCACCACCACCACCTGGGGAAGGTCTAGGCCCACATGGGTTGGTCACGAAACAGTTACTAATGCATTTAGTCCATTTCCTATCACATACACACCCAGCCACAGGGCATGAGCATTTGTTCAAGACCCATTTTCATGGGATTTGGGCCACTTTGGTCTCAGCTTGAGTGTCACCTCGGAAGACTCCCTGACCACTATCTCAGTAGACCCTCTCACACTGCCGTATTGTATCCTCGATGGAGCACTTAGTATGGTGTAGATGGTCGTGTATGTTCATCTCCCACTTTTTCCTCCCCATTTAGACTGTAAGCTTGCAAAGCGGGGGGAGCCATCTTTCTCTTTAATTCGTCATTGTAGTCTCAGCACCTAGTTCAGTGTCTGCTCCGTGGTGGGTGCTCAATAACTGTTGGACAAATTAAATCATATATTTTTATACAATAAGCTGATAAGTAGTTCTACTTGACAAATGAGGAAACTGAGGCCCAGAAAAGGAAGTGACTTCCCCAAGGTCACTCAAAGCAGCAGTGTCAGAGTTGGGACTAGAATGCAGATTGCTCAGATTCCCAGTCAAGCCATGTCTCCCCTCTGGCTCCTGGCCCTGATCCCAGGCCTTCACTCCCACGCCCCTACCCTGATACACCACCACCACATACACACTGCCTCCTCTTACCTTCTGCCCTGGAT